ATTGCTCACAATTATCGTACAGTTTTAATTTTTACGGAAAAAAAGGAATAAAACATTCCAGGCTTGTAAAAAAATTTTTGTGTTCAACTTTTTGGAAAATAGTTCGTAATCCTAAATCATTTTTTATTTCTTTGGCTAAATATTTTAAAAAGAGAAAAACAAGACGATTTTTTAAGCTTACTATTCTATAAATGTCATATTTTTGTACTCTTTTTCTAATTTTATATTTCAAGCCACGAAAAAATATATACTTTCCATTATAATACTATAGCATATGAAAAAAAGTTTGTTTTCTAAGTGAGGCAAAGTGGCAACACTCTCGCCCAAATGGTTTTAGCACCACACTATTGGTTTAGCACAAAAAAAATCTGAGCTGATAATGAGTTTGATGAGTTTGTCGTTTTCTTTGATTATTTTTAATTGTATTTTTTATGTTTGTTGTTAATCGTTTGGTTAGTTTCACAAAATGCTTCGATGTTAGTTATTTAGGGATGTTGTAAATCTTACGTTATGTTCGTATTACATACTAATAAAAACTGTTATTATTCTATTAAATTATAATGTTCGTATTATATGTTATCATTATATATTATTAAATGCTTAAGAATTACTTATTATAATTTTTGTTCCCTTATTATGAATCATATTTATTTATTTATTTTTGATAAAATTATAATTTTTTTTCGGGAAACATATACCAATTCCTTTAAAATAATTTTCTTAGAACTTTTTCGATATTTTAAGGAGTTAACTATGAACATACATTGCTCTTTTTCCTTTTATATGAATGTTATGATAGAGGTTACTCAAATGATACGTCACCACTTAATAAAGGGTTTGCATTTAGATTATTAGCTGCTTAGAATTGGAAAGTATGAGAAACCAAACGTAAGAAGCTAAATTAATTTTATCGTAGAAAATTTCCTATAAATTATAATTTTTATTTGCATTGGAAGAAGGAAGTCTAACATTAACAAAATTACCTAGCAAAAACATATTGGCATGACGTAAAATGTGTAACAAAATTTTAAAGGGCTGTGTAAAATACAATAATGTACCGCATTTTCAAATTGTTCAAAATAGGGTTATTTTAGAGTTTAGCAGATCAGAAGTTGTCTCATGACTTTAAAAAATTTTTCATCTCAAAGGATTTTTCATGAAATTTTTTCAAAAATACTTTCAGTTTGTTAGTTAATTATTACATAAGTTAACCAGTACAGTACATAAGTTAACTTCCTTTTTATACAATTCGTAATAAATGTACGAATTATCATTTTGGAAGGTTCACTGGTTGTTTTTACTATTTTATTTTGTTAAATTTCCAGAAAGTTAGCTATACCCATCTTCCTCTGAATCCTTCTAACCTAGTTAAATCTTAAAAAAATAAAGTAAAAAAAAAGAACAAACAAGGAAATAAAAATAATACTAAAAGTGAATAAATAAAAAAGTGAATGAATGAATAAATTAAAATATCTTTTATAAATTTAGTGTAATTTATTTAAAGGACCAAGAACTTAAGAAGCTAGCTGAGTCTTAAAAAGTAAATATGATAGAAGTAATAGAATATATTTAAATCAAAGGCAACGAAGAAACAATTTTGTAGGGCTTCAAAATCTCCCATTTCACAACTTTCTGCTCTGAATAATTTTTAAGAAGTGTTGATAGTGTAAAATTCTTTCTTTTTCAAAACCAGCATTAGCTAATCATACTTAGTCAAAATCATTTTAAAAATTTCAGGGACAAAATAAGTTTCTTCACCTCAGGCTATTTTTATAGAGCATCATTTTTTCCCCCTGCTACACAGTGTGAAAATTCATTTTTTCGGGGTGGTTTTTTAATAAAATTTCATCATTTTGCAAGAGCCTTTAGCCTGTTTTAATCTAAGCGGATTGAGAGTAATTGAAAGGAAACATCAGAAATTAGTTATTTAAAAAGACGACGCACATCTGTTGTTACGTGCCTTACATAATGGATTAATAGAGATGCACACACCTGCGAAGGCGAGGAATTAGCTTGAAAAAGAACGAGGATCAATGGTCGAACCTCACGCTCTCTTATTAATGCACAAGGATGTTGCCAAACGATAATAAAGAAAATTAAAACAAAACGTATGATAGGTAAGGACACAGTTAAGTTGATTTTTAAGGCACATGTACACTGGAGATTCAAATAGGCCGATTCTTTTTATTCAGCTGCGGTCTTACGCGATACGGTTTGGTAATTTTTTTTTCTCGGGGCCTTGAGTCTTGTTTACAAACACTTCGTACTATCAATGGTTCTTTTTTTATTTGTAATTTTCATTTATTTTTTATAGAATGGATGGGTGGTTTGGAGCTCTAAAAGGCATACCCAATGAGAATATTTTTCGAATGATACGTAATTATGATGATTATCATCACAGATGAGAAAACATTGCTAAAAAGGCGTTTTTTTTAAATTTTTTTTACGTGATTTGTATATTCTGTATCAGATATCGTTAAGAATAGAACGGAGAAAAAGCAGACGATCATAATAATGAGGTCACTTTATGAGAGTGAAGTGCTAAATCAAAGGAAGAATGAGAATACCTAACAGCACGTGCATTTTGTGTTTATTGTTATCACTTTAGAAAAATGAGATTAAGTACTTTGTAAATGTATTTATTATTTACGTGCTTATTTCATAATATTAAAAAAAAATCCCGTTTTGTAACTATTATCTTTTTAATGTTTGATGGAGACACGTATTTTGTCGACAATCATTTTCTTTTATTTTAATAAGGTACAACAAGTAAATTATAATGAACTATTTTCTTTTTAATGCTTAATGGGGATGCGTATTATTTTAGCAATTATTACTTTTATTTTAAGGTACAATAACTAAATTAAAATCAACTGTTATTTTTTTACTGTTTGATGTGAATAAACATTATTTCGATAATTATTTGCTTTTTTTCTACTGTTCATTAAGTTATTAATTATTATCTTTTTAATGTTTAATGGGGATGCGTATTATCTCAACAATTACTTGCTTTTATCAAGGTGCAATAGTTAAATATTCCTTTTTAAATTTAGAGAAAAATATACTAAAAAAATTTTAAATTCACATTTTATATTATAGTTTATACATTGAATATTATTGCTATGTACTAATAATATTCAATGTATAAACTATATTGAATACTGGAATATCGGTAATATTGGTACTTATATATTAAAATTTGATCAAAAACTGTACGCAACTTACGCTATGAAGTTGCATATTCCTCTACAAATTGAATACTTGATTTAGTTATTTCCTCTTGTTTAATTTGGTATTAAGAAAACATTAAAATAAATTGTATCAAGATTGTTGAAGTCCATGTAAAGCTTTTTAAAAGGTTTTGTAACTTTCTGATGGAAAGTGTTTTTTTAAAGTATGTAATTTTATTAATTTATGAGTTCATTGTTTTGATAATCTTAACACATTAAAACCGAAGTCAAAGTTTTTCAATAATTTTTTTCACCGCTGTGGTTTAGGAGATAAGGTATTCGATTCTCAATGAAGGTGACAAATTCTGCTCCCGGCTCGCACCGACCACAGTGCTAACGTAAAATATTCTTGGTGGTAGATAGATAGATCATGGCTTAGAATCTCCTTGCTGTCTGGCTAGGGAGATGTTTTCGAGGTTTTTCTCTCCCATGTTATACAAATGCTGGTTAGTTCCATCAAAAGTGCACCACAAAGGCTAGTTTGCCCCACTGCTTGATCCAAGAGTTCTTTGTCTTCTGAGTTGGGTTCAAAATTACTAGACTGCGGAGTTTAACAGTGATAGTCGTAAACTCAGAATTAGATCGGCTGTTCAACACTGGTTGTTAAACAAATATCAAATAATATTTTCTAAATTTAATTATCATTTATCGTGAATGTATTAATAAATATCAACCTGAAAATTTTTCGATTTGTTTGAAAATTTTAAAAAAGTCGAAAAATTAATTTCTTTTCCTGCTTGATTAGCTTATTAATTGTTTAAAAAATTACGTAGCATATACAATTATGGGATATATTTGTAAAAGAATTTTTAATTATGATTTTTTTATTGTTTATAAATTAAAAAATTTATCTTTATTTCTTATATCAGAAGTTAAATTCTTTAAATAATTATATTCCTTATAATAAGCATCATTATTTAATAAAAATTGGAAAGAAAAATGTCATTTTAATTATAATTGAAGACTAATGAAAGAACATATAAAGTGAAATTTCGGGAGCATTTATTTTATTTTTCAAGTTAAGAGAGTATGTTGTTGTTGTGATGAGCTGTGAAAATTATAACAGAACAAAAAACTTCCCTTTTAATTTATAATTGAACAGATAAAAAAGAAACATGTTAAATAAAATTTTGAAAACAATTTTTTTTTTTCAGTTGTAAAGAATATGTTACGATCGGGTTGAAAAGAAAGGAATAGTAATAACGGCAATTTTTGCACCCTAAACAGTAAAATACAGAGATCTCGGATAAATAATTTTATCTTGTAATTTAATTTTAAAGTTATTCTTGAATTTCACTTTGAAAACGGAAATAATTTATTACAGTTCGCAGTTATTTTTAATAATGAAACTGTCGAGAATAAAAACATGCAACTTTCCTGAAACATCTGTGACACACAGAATCACACTATCTCCTGTGAAACACACATTTTAAATCGCTTCACCGCAAAACGTAAATAAATACAATCCCATGTTTCTAAATATTCTTTCGAATTCAATCCGCAAGTGGCAAAAGAACTAATCCCATTTCCTGTTTCACTTTTATTAAAAACCCAACTGATAAAATTGAATGGTGAAACTTCGCGGGCGTCAAACGATAGTTTAAAATAAAACGAAAATTAAGGCTTAAACAATGTTTTTCAGAAGATCAAAGAAACCAGAACAAATGTTCCAAATTTCATTCTCTTTTTTTTTCTTTTCTTCTCTTCTTTCTTTTTCTTAACGTGGAACGAACAATGAAACTAAATTTCCTGTTTGTTTCTTCCTTTTAGAATGAATGGAAAAGGTCAATGAGAATGCAGCTGCTGATTATGTCAACATTATATGAAGTAACAAGCAAGAACGAAGGATACCTGAAAAACCATAATTTTCAAGATTTTAACAATGATGAGGAGTCGTTTCGGAAGAATCCTGCTCTAAATCTGTAAGTGTTTTGATATCTATTTCCAAAATTGTTTTATGACATATGATTGGTTTAGACAGAAATAAACTGTTCGCCATGGAACAAATGCGAGTCAGTGACCAGTGTTGAAAATCTAATATGGGGAATACATTTGGTATAATTTTGTATCGATATTTTCTAACTCGTACAGTTTTCATCAAATCGAAAGAAATTTTATGACTTTTATTTGTCATTTTTAGTGAACATCTCAATTTTTTTCGACTTTTTATGCTTTCTAGCTTTAGCTTCGTGCAACGACAGCTTTGTACTATGCAGTATTATTTATCAGAAGATGTATCTCGGTGATCTTTAATGTGTCGTAAATATTACTACAATATGAAAATTGATTCCCATAGCTATTGCATAAGGAAAGGTTAACTTTATATTAAATATAAATAGAGCTATAAGTATAATATAAATAGAGAATATAAATAAGTAGAGCTAAAGCGTCGTGAAAAAAACACAATTAATTTAGCATAAACGGAGATACTGCCTTTCCAGTATTATTATTACATTGAAGAATGAATTTTATAATAGTACCGAAAATAATCGTATGTCTGTTTTCATGACATTATTTGTGTTTTTTCACGTTGTTTTTAACTTTATTTACTTTATTTGTATTAAATAAAAGTTTATTGAAAATAAATAATAAAAAATATAAATAAATTTATGCATTTCTCGCACTGTTAATCAGTTATTAAAATAACTATATTTGTACCAAAAATCTTTTATTTTTTTGAATAAAAATATGTAACGTCATTATTACTACTTGATAAATTCAATATTTTCTTAAATGGTTTTCTTCCAATGTTTAAACTTAAAAGTACAGAAAACCTCACACGTTGAAACGCTTTTCATGTTGAGAAAACGCTTGTTTCGCTATCGCCTACACAATTTCATTTTAAAAACACTGAAAATTCCCATTTAAGTTTAAATTTTAGGTTTTAGTTTAATGTTCGTTGATGTTGCGAAAATGTTGCGAAAATTTCCTCAGTACCTATCTAGGAAAAATATTAAAGATTTGTTTTGGTGTTAAATAAAAAAGGAGAAACGTGACGAGTGCGTACTATTTAATACTTTCGGTTAATATTTTTTCTTCTTAAATATATTTAATTGTAAATTCTACATATTACATACAGATTTTTATGAAAATATGTGGAACTAAATTAGTTTTTATTTATGTTAAACTTTAGAAATATCCATATGTGTATTGATGTTAAAAGTCTCAAATTATCTTATTAAAAATATAGTGTTTTATAGTGGAAGAGAATTATTATTTTTTGTGCTAATAAATCGATAAATGTCGTGTTTCTGAAATTACTTTTAGTTATAGTTGGTTGCTCATGGTGTTATAGATAGCATTAAATTTTTTATGCTAGATTAATAAAAAACAGCATGTTCTACTTTTTCCTTTTTCTGAAAATCAGATTTTTTTTCCGTATTTATTTAAATACAGTTTTTTTTTTTTACTAAATTAATTTAAATTTGTTATTGTAGTTGCAATTTTAGATGTTAAAGAAAGTATTGTAATGTTTATAGATTTTATAGTGTCGCCATCTAGGAAAATTATTTAGAAACTAAACTCACGTTGATAACTGCCTATATTTATAAATGAAACACCATCGTTAATGAACATTATAGTAGTAAGCATCATTATTAATGAATCATTTTGGTTAATGGAATGCAATGAGTAATAGTAAATACATTATACTTAAAAATATTTTAATTACATTATTAAACTGTGCAATGTAACAGGGCTGTAATTTGTATAATGAAAATTATAATATAAAATTAATTTCGATAACATTTTGGAAAGCAATCATTTAAAATTAAAATGTTTTGTATCAATAATGTACCTTCTATATTTTTTTAATGACAAAAATAGCGAAATTGTATTAATGATAAGATTTATTCCCATTCCGATTGTTTAATAAGGGTTTTGATATATTGATAACAGATGGCAGCACCATAAATAATTTTGCTTTTCCTGTTAAACTTGGAATAAATAGCATAAGTTAAGCAAATACATTTGAAATCACTTCTGTATAATGTATTTATTATTAAAGCATCATATTTAATGTGGAAACTTTTAGTTCTCCTTTTATGTACTGATAATGATATATAAAAGATTTATACTGTATTTTAATTGAGATAAGTAACTTAAGAAAATATGTTGCGCATTTCCCTAAGTTCGCTGCTTTGGTTATTAAAATGGAGAATTACTTTGTTCACAGATGGCAGCACGAAAGAAAAAAAATAACACGGACCTTCTTCGGAAACTCTAAATTGGAAAAGATTTTAAAAATAATTGTGACAGATGCTTAAAGATTACGTTTTACAGGTAGATAAATTGAATTTATTTAGTTTTTTAAATATTTTGTTAAAGTTTATACTTTTCTTTCAAGTGAAGTGGGAGTTTTTATTATGAATAAATTAAAAAATATAGTCGTATAGAGGGCGACACCGTCAAGTTTACAAATTATTTTTATTTGAAATGTAAGAGCAAAAATAATTTGAAAAATATTATAGGAGGCTCGGCCAAGTATTATTATTATAACTATTATTATTGCTGTTACTATTAAAGTAATTATTGTATATAACTGGTGAGGAATAAGTATGTGTGAAATATATAAATATATAGATTAAAATTTATACCAAAACATAATTTTTTAAAAATTATGAAATACTTTTATTACGTAATGACAATAATTTACCTGAGAAAAAAAAATCTGTGAAAGTCTAAATATAAAAGTTTTTTTTTATTTTTTGAAAATGGAAAATTTTAATATTGTTAATTCTATTTAACTAGTTAGACATCATTATCATTTCTTATCAATTAACAGCCTAATCAGCGCGCTAATGTAAGTTATGTTTTTTTCCTTCATTATTAAATTTTTCTTTGTTATTAAATTTTGTTTCACTCCATATTAATTTTTACCCAATTGCAAATGAAGGGGCTCCCCTCCGAAAAGAAAAGTTACGTGAATGATTCAATTATGCAAACCTGAGTCTGAATTTAATGTAATAGAATATTTATTCATACGTAATTGGATGTTTTATTAAAAATATAATTACTGTGCTAGGATTTATTTGAAGTTAATGGAAGTAAACTTCTCTCTTTTTCTTACTTTTTAACGAATCCTTAAGAAGCTCGAAATATATATGCATATTAAATTCATGTATGAGTCATGAAATTTATATTATTGTGAGTTGTAATGCCTTTTTTTCCGAGATTCTTTTAAAAGCGATAACCGCCCCTCATACTCGAGGCGTTTCATTGGTTATATTGTCCACGCTGTGCACTACTAATGAAAAAATGAATGTATTTTTTTTTTTTTAAATATGTTTAATTTTTTTTTTGGTACAAAGTTTTGTAGATACTAACCAGCGATCCATGTTAAAGATAAGAACTATATTTTATAAAGAAAATCAAAATAAGTAGAATTTATTACAAACCTTTACTATAAAAAAATTGCACAAAGTTAAAAACCACAACTGGCAGTTGAGACCACTAATTATTAACTGTTAACTCTGCAAAAAGTAGCCAATAGAAAAATACGTAATCGTAAATTTTCATGGCTACCTTTGTTTTTTAAATTTTTTTTGTTGAAATTTTCGTTTGTTGCGAGTTATTTCGCATAAGAACACGTTCCCCCACTAAGCTGCTCCCGTACCCCTGGGGGTGCGAGTACCACGCTTTGGGAAACACTGGCCAATATGATTCATCTTGCAAACATGTCAATTATACCTAATATGATGCCCTATTAAATTTTTATCTAAAATGTTCGTTTTTGAATAACGCACTATTTTTTTTTTAAGAATAATGTTTGATACAGTGTGGGAATAATGAAAGAAAGCAGTTTTATAAGCAGCGGGTACTTGAATATTGCAATTGCATCGAGTTATACTATTTTGCGTGCTTTTAAAGATTTTTTTTTTCTTCTTAAATTTGGTGTTAATTAATAAGGTATAAAAGGTGTAGGCACAAAAATTTTATTAGGTATTTTTCTACAAAATCAATTTATGTCTCTAAAGTTTCTATGTTTATTTCCAGCTATTTCCCCATCCTATTTTCCTTTCTAGTCTAGTCATTTTGCCAGTAAGTGTTACATTGTATTTTGATGATTAGTGTACAAATAACGAAAAATTACTCCAGAAAACCACGACATTAAACTAAGTTAGATTGAATAAGAGAGAGAGAGAGAGAGAGAGAAAAACAGTTGCAAAGTGACTGCACTTTAATTCTGAGTCATATTTTCCAATTTCTATCTCCCACTCCACGTGTTGGCTTAACTTCCTTTATTTATAGCACTCCAAGACGCCCACGACTTAAGAATAAATTCCGCCATAAATCGGAACCTGAAGTCGAACGTGGACGGTCGCTTCCGCCGTCGGAACCACGGAACGAGATAGGGCGTGTCAACGTGCTGCCCCATCTCTATTTTTGATGAAATGCCAGATAGATTGGAAAAAAATTAAAACGCTAGGTTGGCGCGTCTTTTGGACGCATTTTTGTGTAGGGCGGCTAGTCGGCGAGGGCGTTGTATCGGAAGCAAAGGGTCAAGGTTCATTTGATAGGGGCAGTTTGGCGATAGTGAAGGCGACCGGCAGTCCGACATTTTTTTTATTTATTTTCCAGCATCTTCCGACTTCGAGTGGGTGCGGATCGATCAATCAATCGGACCGATTAATTGGTGCGTAGAAATTTGCCGACTAATAACCCAAGCAGGTAGCGCGGTGTCTCTTTTGAGCAATGTGCCGCTGTTTTTAACGCTGTTGCACTAGTTGGAGTGGTTTCGCCTAATTACTTCTGGAATATTATGAGTTCGAATTTTTCTTTTCTTTCCACCTTCGGCTTTTTTTTTTTAGTTGTAATTAATTTTTACCAGTTTCAAATTTGTTTTATTTCCAGCATTTATTTTATTTTTATTTAAAAAAAAAAATCCAAATGAGGAAATGGATTATGTGAGAAAACACTGTCACGTTAGTTTAGAGAAACACTGTTATTGCTGCGTAACTCGGAACTATATGGATCTATGTGCTTATTACGTTATTTTCTACTTCTTTTGTATTGAACATTAGCAACAATGCCATTGAAATTTTTCTAAAAATATCATTAAAGTGTACCTAAAACATCATTGAAATTAAACAAAAATATCATTAAAGTGTACCTAAAACATCATTGAAATTATACAAAAATATCATTGACGTTCATCGAAAACATCATTGAAATTATACAAAAATATCATTGAAGTTCATCAAAAACATCATTGAAATTATACAAAAATATCATTGAAGTTCATCGAAAACATCATTGAAATTATACAAAAATATCATTGAAATTAAACAAAAATATCATTGAAGTTCAACGAAAACATCATCGAAGTTTATCAATATATTATTAATGTTTAAAATAGCGTGTAATTTTGATACAAATGTCAGTGAGGTTTAATTGCAATATAAAGTTAAATCATAATATTTATTAAGTTAACCTCAAAAGATAAAAGATAAAAATAACGGAGATACTTAAAAAAAATCTGCCTGAGTTGGTAATGTTAGGCGGGATTTTTATTATTTTAATGTTTCAAAACATACGAACTAAAACTGCCTCCTTTCTAAATATATATAGTTGCTTATTTTATGATTGTTCTAGCACTTTTTCTTACTTATTTTTGTCTCTCTGTCTATTTTTCCTTTTTAATTATTTGAAAGAAGGTTTTATAAACCCAACAAAATGTAGTTTAGTTTATAAAAATGATTTTTAACAAATGGTAAAAAATTAATTTCATAGTTAGAAAAGAGCCTCATGATTCAATGTCAGTAATATTTCTATACGTATGGGACTTTTCGGCAGCCTCATAATGTCATTTTCAAATTTACTCCTAATAATCAAGAGTCACATTTGAACATGACACTAGGAGACTAACCATATAGAAATATCATTGAAATTGGAAGTCCCTAAAAAAAAAAAGCTTTGCATTGATATTTCCATATTTATTTCTATACTTCAATGGTATTTCTAGGACGTTTCATGCGTACGGGGAAGCATTATGATTAAATTTAGATGAGATATGAGGAGACAGACTATGGAAATATCACTGATATAGAAGTCTCTTAATAGGAACAAAAGGGCTGTACAATACACGTGCCTGGTTATGTGTATCTGTTTACTCAATGGTTCAGAAAGGCAATTAGTTGCCCATTAAATAATTAAAAGAAAAAATCAAATTGCTCTCATGACGAAATGAGATAACACATGTCCTTGTTAACGAAAAAAAAAAAATGATTAAGTTGAATGCAAAAAATTGCATCAAACAAAAGAACCTATAACACAAGAGTCACAGTTCTTGTTGTTATCCTTTTACTTTTTTTTTGTCAGCGTATCTTTATTACAATTGAGGGAGTCAAGGACAAAAGTTCTTATAACAACTAGATCTGCGTATAGAGCAGCTACTGATTGTAGATATTGACTACAAATCACAGATCCGCTCTGCCATCTTGTGGCAAACGCGGAAGTTACGATCATGTTGCTGAAGTATGGACATTTGATACTCTACCGCCATATTTTTCACTCTGTCTGGTGAAAGTTAATTTATTCGAACCCAAATTTGAAAGCATGATAGAAACCCTTGCTCTTCAATTACTGTTCAGTGAAAGCTAAGATCTGAGAGAACGATATGGAAGTTCGTTTCTTCTAATTATCGTTAACTATTTTTTTTATTTTTTCCGTAGTTTGCCTCTGGTAATGGCTTTCACTTCTCGAATAATTGCTGGTAAAATGATAAATTTCAGTTTTGAAATATTGTGCAAACAGGATGTTTGGCAAGAAAACAAAATTTCTTGTGAAGGAAGTCGCAAAAAAAGGAAGAACGCTCGTTTTTAAGTAAAGGCGAGGTACTTTAAGTTTAATTTAATCTACAAACATTTTTAGATTTCATGCAAAGGGAATAGTTTAGCAATCCCTTATTATTTATACTGTAAAAATTTCTTCCGCTTGACATTGCTATTAAAATTGACAAACGCAAAAAATCCTTTAGTTTGTCTTGTCATGTCAGGTATGTTATAGCTCTTCCAAATTCTTAAGTTGGATCCCAATAATCATTTTTCGTTAAATCTCTTCTGGCTATTGCAGTCTGGCTCCAATTCATCTTAATAAGTCGAAAATAAAAAAAAATTTTAACAAGAAATTAGGGTACCAAAAATTAGGGTTCTTTCTTAAACCAAGTTTTCTCAAAGCAAGTATTTTTTAAAATTTTTATCAAAATAACCTATGTAAAGCTCCATAGTCATTGGATCAATATACATGATTTTTAGATGAATAAATTGCAGAGGGGCAGTGTTTTTTACCAATATTTTAACTACTTAAAATTTTCCGACTCTATCGATATTTAAAAACTATTACTCAGTATATATAAAGTTGCTCGATTGTGTTTGTATGTTTCAGCCATTAATCCAAATCTAATTGAATTGGATCATTGGTAATGCATATCTATCTGAGCCATTGGGGCAAAAGTTAGTTATCCCAATCTTGGTCTATTGATGTTATGCATGCTCACGTAAGACTTTTCTCAACTTGATCCAAAAAATGTTATTTTAGTTGAAAAAAATGGAGAAATTTTGGGTTAAGCTCTCTCAAGAGAAAAATTATTAACGTTGCATTAAAATGAAAGGCTGAATTTTACGACTAACTGTTGAGCACGAGTGATGTTAGCGCCCCCGCACGGCATCAGTAAAAGCAATCCAGATGATTAATAACTTTCTGGAAGCTCCAAACGTTTCTATTTTTTATTAATATTTTATGATTTTTCTTTTGTGCGTTTTTAGTACTATTTGTTTCAAGTAATATTAACTGTTTTGTCCAAAGAAAGAATTCGTATTTCTAGTTTTCTACGCTAGAAACTAAATGATACAAGACAATAAATTGTAATTGAAATTTATGTTACCATAAAATTATTTTTGGTTTCATAAGTTTTAAAAATGTTAAAAGATATTGAGAAACATGCATATTTATCTTTTTGATTTCATTGTTTATAATGAAGCTTTGAGTTGTTAATTACGAAATACACTTCATGTACTATTTTTCAAAACAATGCAATGTTGAAAATGCCTATTGTTCTATAAATAAACCATAAAAAACATACTTTTTTAAAATATAAGGAAATGTGTTAACTGATTCAACGCTAATTTTTATATTTTTATTTTATTGATTGTCTGCTATTCATAATATTTTTTTAAAATATATTTTAAATTAAGTAAAAGATTACTCGTTTTCTTTTTTTTCTCTTCTGCTTAGCTGTGAAATGGGTGAAATATGATTGAATTAATAGAAAATTTTTTTTATCTAGTAAAGAATAGATACAACACCAATTCTTAAAAAAAAAAAAAATTATTTAATCAATTACTAGCCATTTAAAACGAGAAAACAATTCCATGTATTTTAAATTCAATAACAATAAATTCGTATTCCTTTTTTTGTACCATTAGCTGAGAACTGGATGAAAAAGGATGGAATTCCTTTTAATCGTGCGCATTTTTTTTTTGTAATAAATAAATCACTTTTTCTTCAACAATTGATTGATCTAACACTAACGTTTGAAATTTTATTTAATTGTTCGTTATTTAAGCTGTTTTGATTATTGGCTATTTAAAATGATTTGTGTATTTTAAATTAAGTAACACATTAAGTAACTCATATTTAATTTTTACTGCTTAGCTGTGAACTGGATGAAAAATGATTAAATTCTTTGCAAGCATCCAGTATTCATCAGTTTTTGTTTTGTAATTAATTGAGCAGTTTTTCTTCTATTTAATTGATCAAACACTATTTTTTTTATAAAAATTATTTAATTGATTGTTTGTCAATCAAATCTATTTAAATTTTGTAGCTAATGTGCGAAAACAATTTTATGTATCTTAAATTAAGTAACACATTAACTCATAGTTTAACTCCTTAGCTGTAAATTGGATGGAAAATTATTAAATTCGTTGCTAGCATCCAGTTTTATCATTTTTTGTTTTGTAATCAATTGATCAATTTCCTTCCAGTAATCAATTGATAGAAGGCAAAATTTTACAATCTTATTTAATTGATTATTTAAAATGAAAGGTAAAACAATTTTTGATATTTCAAATTCAAAAACAATTAAATTATATTTCTTATTTTTCTTCAAATAGGACAGAAAGTGATTGAATTCCTTGCATTTGGATGTGTCATCTCTTTGGTATAATTCTCATTATCCAGTAGAATCTTCATCCGAGATGATCTGCGTTTTGTCCTCAAAAGCCAGATCGTCTTGAATTGAGGCTCCAAGGGTTGAGCAATCTCCGGTATCGTATGTTCATCTAAAAATTCCTGCGCTTTCTCTCTCTTTTTTTTACTTCTACGAAAAAAAAATTATTTTTCTTTCTAAATTCTTTTCTTTTACTGAATGAAAGGCTTAAAATTCTTTAAACATTCCGTGTTCTGTTTACTTTTTTCCCTATCATTCACAGTCCGTTATGATTTTTCGAAACACGTGTTTTTTCAACTTTTTCTTGTAGCTCTAATGAGATAAGTTGTTAAGGTATTTTTTGCATCGACTCAATAGAATGAAATGAGGTACTGAGTTGCTTGAAATTTTTTTCTTTCTTTCATGATAGCGTCTACAAGCTTTTATTTATCTATTTTTATTAAATCATATTTTATGTAGGGCATATCATTAGGGAAAAAATGTTAATTCTTTTTAAATTATTATCAGAAAAAATACTGTCTGACTTGAAATCGAATTTTTTAAATTTTTTTTATTTAATTTCACAAATTGTATATGCATTAACAATTCATAAAAAATGCAATTTGAGAAAAATATTGTGTATAATTTGTCATTTATGAGTTTTTTTTTAAAAAAAAAATAGTTATACGATTCTTTTTTGTTAATTTTTTTCTGTTTACATGAGTTTTAATATGTCATTTAGATGACACGGTGAGTTCGCGTTTCCTAGAAATTTTGAACTTTTAATACTGGATATCTTAAATAATTTTCAACCGATTTATTTATAAACTTAAAAGCATGCATGTTGCATATCTTTGCTTTTTTGAAAAATATGTCTGTGCGTAGAGATATTTTATTCTCAGTTAGTAGTTTTTTTTAATAACTAATGAATTTCTGAGAAATTGAATTTCTGAATTCGGAAATTGAATGCCTGTTTGATAAATAAACTTAAAAGTTTATTTAAAAAAATGAAGTATTTTAACTTTTATTTATTTCAACCTAATTTTCCATTTTTTAGCTTTGATTTTAAACAAATGATTCATTTTTTAATGACTTATTTTGCTTAGAATTTGTATACTACATAGTTTTAAGCTTCTGTCCCTTAAATTTGATTTTCAATAATTAAATCATTTTTGATATCTGTGACTCTTTAAAGAAGTGTCATTAGAATTGACGAAAAAATATCGATATCGAAAATTATGATGGATTTAAAGTTTTAAGGTGTTCTAGCAATTGCAAAAATATTATAATAAATTTTACTTTGAAAAATTATAATATTACATTTTATATTTAATATACAATAGATAAATAATTTTTTAAGAATTGTTACAAAGCATTTTTCTCGACATTGCGAAGAACTGCTTTCATGTTGGACTTAAAAAATGCTACATAATCAACCGAATGCTTGAAATACGTGGTTTTGGATCAAATTAAAAAAAATTGGCTGCACATAATCAACTAAACGCTTGATACGTGGGGTCTTTAGATTAAATAAAAAAATGGCTATATAATCAATGAAATACTGATACGTGAGGTCAAAGATCAATTTAAAAAGAATCGAGTACTAAAAATTGATTTAAGGCATAAGATTTTATTTTGATTATATTGTGTTCTTAGATACATCTACAAAAATGATCCATGGATAATAATAAAGCTTGCAACAAAACTAGGCATTGTCAATCAAAGATTGTATGCATTATTGCATAGCAATCAAAAACCCTAATTCCCACAAAATTAGGTAGGTGGAAACAAGATCTCTGGAAAAGCAGCTCCGGAAGAAAAACCGGGAAAAAATCACCGGAAAAAAGGTACCAGAAAAAAACAGAACAGTGAAAAAGCACAGGAAAAAAAGGACGTCATTAGTAATTATATAAACTTAACAATTGATTCAATAGACCCGTGGAACAAGAGTTTTTTAAAATTGAAAAAAAAAATTGAATGAAATAAGATATTTTTTAAGAAAATATAATAAACATAAAAATTAGTTTAAATTTTACCGAAACGAACTTTCCCCATTTCATACAATTTGCCAAAATTATAAAGACTCTTAAGCAATTCTAAAATTGTTATAAATTTCAATAATTGCACATATTACTTTTAATAATTACTCTTATTATATTGTATTGCAACAATAATAATAAACAAATAAAAAAAAATTTCAGCTAGTTATTTTTAAAAAAAATTGTATTAAAGTGAAATACTTTATCATTTTTGTTAAAATGTTTTAACTTGTAGAAAGATTAAGTCTCTGAGAGAGAATTGTTAATAACTAAATTAATAATTGAAATATAAAGCATTAAAAGTTACTTTCGGACAATTTAGTAATTATTTTAAGTAATTATTTTAAAAATATCTAATTTCCTTCGAATAATTATTTAATTACATTCAAATCGGATTCAACGGTTCGAATAGAATCTGACGATAAATTTTATAGTCATTGAGGTGCTTTTTTCAGTATTTTTTCTCGGTGTTTTTTTCCGGTTATTTTTTTAGGTGCATTTTTTCCCTGACTGCGAAAGTTATTGGAACAGCTCAACTCCATGGAGACTCCTTAATAAATGTATATTTGTGCCGCGATGGATCAGGGGATAGCCTCTCAATGATGTGACCCAGGTTCGAATTTCAGCGGTGTCTGGTTGATAAGAATTCTGCTCCCGAATCGCAGCGACCACAGTGCTGATGTAAAATAATCTCAGTGCTAGACGGATCGTGGGTTATAATCCCCTTGCCGTCGGGCTAACAGTGGGAGGTTTCTGTGGTTTTCCTTTCTGTTAATCGCAAATACGTGTTAGTTCCATTATAAAGTCCTCCACGAAGGGTTAATTAGCTCTTATGCTTCATTCAGGACTTCCCTTGTCTTCTGGGTTGGGTTCAAAATTACAAGGGCATGTAGTTGTACATCGATGGTAGTAAACTCAGAATTGAGTCGGCTGTTCAACGCTGGTTATAAAATAAAATATCTGTATATTTAACGTACTGAAGTAAAAGATAAATCGTCATTTAGGTTATGAAAATAAAATTTTTTCTCGAGGTAGAGTATTGCGCCACCATTTTGAAAGTGCAATTGAAAAAAGAAAAGAAAAAAGAGAAGTTAATTTTCCTTCGAGACCTAAGCGGCAGATTAACACAAAGGCACACTAATTTGAAACTCAAAACCTTCATGCGACCACTTGGCGATTTACCCTAAACTACTCTGACATAGTCGGAAACTGCTGGCATGGAAGAAAAAAAATATGTTTTCATTTTCAAAGGGGAAAAAAAAATCTTTTTTCAAGTCGATTGACCCCCGACCTTAGTTATCAGATTACCCCGGACTTGAGTCTGACACAATCAAATAGGGCCCCCTTCTCTGGTTGCGCCCTAATGACGTGTGCCCCTGGGCGCCTGTGACGTAACTTACCCCGCCCTGTGATGGAACGTTGATTCTGTGCGGAGATTATATATTATTAATGTTTATTAGATGCCTAATTTCGTTTGTTGGTGCTTGAGTTTGACGCCAGTGAAGTTTGCTTGGCGATATGGTTGGAGACCTTTGTTCTTTTTTGTTTGTCCACCCACGCTAATATTTTTTTTTTGTCTTTGGAATTTTCATTGATTATTTTAAATCTGATTAATGATTTTGTAATTCAATACAAATTTCTAGAAGGGAGTGGAAGTTATTTATGGACTTCATAAATGATTAGACGACACAAAATAAAATTGATAGCTTTGTAATAATAAAGATTTGTTCAATATTGTCTTTTTATTTGGAATTGAAAAAACAAAATGTTTGGTAATTATCAAGATTTTTTTCTGAGAAAATAATATTTTCTAAGCATTGAGGCAGTTTTCATTAGATTTATAAAACATTGTCATATTTGAAACAATTAAAATTATAAAACGGAGCTATTATTATTTTTTTTTCATTGCGCGTTGAATTTTGTCTATTTTTAGAGCTTTTCTAAACCGACTTCATAACTCATTAGTGTAGCCATGGCGTACTAATCTTTCTCCAATATATATATACGCCTAGAGTATAGTTATAGAATGACGCAAGTGATCCATGCAAATGATCTATATTGTTTGTTAATCATATATAAAACATTAATTTTTTTACGTTACATGGCTAAAAAATGTCGTACTTTCCCTTTTTATCTTAAGCATGACTGTAAAATGGTGATTTGTTTTTGAAATAATGCTTTAGTTTTCATAGTTCCACTTGAATTAGATGATGTAGTAATTTAAAACATAATATATTTTATTTTATAACCGTCGTCGAACAGCCGATCCAATTTTCGGTTTACGACTACTAATGTTCATCTCCGTAGCCTTGTCATTTTGAACCCAATCTAGAAGACAAGGGAACTCTTGGATCAAGCATTTGGAAAAATTTGTCTTCGTGAAGGACTTTTTATTGGAACTTCTCCGCATTTGCATTACTTGAAGAGGAAAACCAAGAAAACCTCCCACGGTTAGCCATACGGGAAGGGTATTCTAACCCAGGATCTGTCTACCACTGAGGATATTTTTACGTCAACTTTGTGGTTGGTTTCTAGCTGGGTGCAGAATTCATACCAATTAGGCATCGCTGGAAATAGAACCCGGTTCACTTCTTTGGAATAGCTCTATCCCCTGAGCCAAAGCGGCTCAAACATAGTATATATTTTATATATCCGTCGTTGAACAGCCGACCCAATTTTTGGGTTTAGGACTACTAATGTTCAACTCCGTAGCCTTGTAGTTTTGAACCAATCCAGAAGACAAGGAAACTCTTGGATCAGTACCCCCAGAGGTATTGATTTGTTAAGGGAACACGAAGGACTTTGCGACTTGACAGATTTAACTTGCATCAGTCTCCAATTACTACATGGGGAGTCTTTGTCCGGCCCGGGATCGAACCCACGAACTCTTGGACATGAGCCCAGTGCCCTACCAACCAGGCTTTCCCGGCCCAAGCATATTATATTTGTGAAACTTCTATGTTCAACAATTTTATATAACTTGATATTAGTTAAGCAATTTAGTTATTTCAATTCTAGAACTCTGGAAGATTAAGAGAAATTTGGACAACTTAACACCCGACAAAACTAAGCGCTACGTATTCTTGACGCATTAAAGGACTGAAAGAGATGGGTGCGTTTTTGTTTCTTAATTGAAATGATTTGTTATTGGAACATTAGCGAAGTCGTTGATATTTTTCCGAGGATAGTTGTTTTTTAGAAAGACTATATCATCCGAACAGTGTGACGGCTGATCTGTTAAGGCTGTAATGCTCATCAACTTTCTTGAAAGAAAATATCTACGCAGCTATGCAAACATTTCCTTCTGAAAATACACTTTGGGGCTGTCGGTGTGTGGAAGATGTGACCTTCTCTCAGAGATCTCGTAAAAAAGTGACAAGATCGGAATGCTTGGTTAAGAGAAGTGAACACCGCGT